GCAATTTAAAGAAAAACATACACATTTTATTGAGCCGAGGCACTTAAATGAGCTCCGCAAACACAGAGACATTAAAGACTAATCATAATATTTCCACAACCAAATCCCAATTCACACTGGATCCTTTATCACAACAGAAAACAAGAAAGAAAAAGACAAGAAATAAAAGATAAAAATAACCCCTCAAAAATTCCTTTACCTTTTGCTTTCTTTACCAGTGACTGCACTATTCACCCTTGCGTGTCCCACATAAACCCGCCTGCTGTTCTTATCTAAGGCTACGTTCACACTGCAGGTCTTAATGCTCAATTCAGATTTTTTGATCAAATCCGATTTTGTTTTGTCTGCTTGTTCACACTACAAATAAAATGCGACAGTAAACGCTCTCTAGTGTGAACGCTCAAAGCGGCCCGCATGCGCAAAAGAAGACGTCACACACAACGCGCTCTGTTTAGACCCAGAGCAAACCGTATCGTTTGACTGCTGGCCCTTAATATAAAGACTTCGGACTTTACGTTTCCCAATTTTTGCTTTAAGTTATTTTGTTATTTACATAATAATGTAACCTAATAATGATCCTTATTGCTGTTTTAAAGGAGCGCTGCTTCAAAGGATAGTCGCAGATTTCTGTCAGAATCTGCAGATTATACAGTACAAATAAAATGTTCACGTTTCTCCAACGTTGTCTTCCCAACAGTTTCACTGACATCTACACCGGATGTCTTCTCGGGCGCTTCTCCTGAGCTGATAATTGGCGTCTGTCTTGTGTCAGTGACGCAAAAGACAGATTTAATGCGACATGACCGTTCAAACAGCAGTCGCTTTCTAAAACATCTTATATGTATCGGATTCAGTACCACATTCGAAAGTGACCCAGATCGGATTTGAAAATATCGGATTTGCGCTGTGCAAACTGTCATACCATCATCAGATATGGGTCGCATACGGTCAGAAAAGTCAAATTTGATGCGCTTTTGCCTGCAGTGTGAACGTAGCCTTAGAGGCAACACACCGTCACTCCACTGCACCTTTCCCCAAAATCATCTCCAGGGTTTCTGAAGTGTTGACTAAGCAGCTCCAGGCTCACTGTCAGGGAGCTCTGCTGGGGTTTCGCGAGGAAGTGTGAATGTGAGATACCAGGTGTCACTTTAATTGAGACCTTGATGCTGCCGTCTGAGCGAAACGGAAAAATTGTAGCGCAGATAAGGCGACGTTACACCTGTGTAAGGACAGCTGATTACACAGTGGGATTATGTTTAAATGAAGCTCAAAACAAGGACTTTATGCACCTAAATATCTCATCACTGCACCCAAATCACGTCCCCTGCAACGCAGAGGGTGAAAAGCATTATCCAAACAGACAAAGAGGATTCATTTGTGTGCTGCACGGAAACAGACTGTACATCTTTTCTGTGGTGTAACAACATTACAGCGGTTCCCATTCTGATTGATGAAAGTGCCATGTCTGCAAGCACCTCTTTTACATAGTGAAGAGCCTTCCCTGCAGCCCGCCATTTATCATCTGACAGTGGGATGGCTGTATTCATCTTAATGCATTGCAGACCCAAACAGGTCCCAGGTCACACACTGCTGCCATGAATCCCTGTGTCTGATTCTAAAAGAGGAGGAGAGATGAGATGGCCAGGGAGTTTTTGGTAGGTGCACAAAGATAGCAGGAGAACAATACTGTCACTTTAATGTTTGTATCACCTCCTAGCACTACCTGCATCGTGACAGGCCATCAGTAAAAGCTGTCCTAAGAGTATAGAATGTTTTACCAATTCTAATAGGGTAAAGCCACCCTAAAATGCATCCTTATGACGCACAACTGCAGCATACTTTGCGTGACTAAGAATAATTTCTTTTAAGCTGGATTCACTGCCAGAACTTTTTCCACTATTGACTAAAACTGAGGTACAAACATCCTCAAGACTAGACCAGTCTTGAGGTGACGCCATGTTACTTTTGGCATTTAACTGTCCTGAACTGTTACAAATGCCAGCGTGTTGAAAGCTTTCATGTTTAAAGATATTTCAGGTAAACCGTGAACTGGAAAAACAGTGTATTAGAATAAGAGTTCATTCATGATCCAATTATGATTAAGTAATGATGCCTATATCCTTTCAAACTGTGGATTTGCAGAATTCTTACATCACAATTTCCACAGGGGGAGGAAACGCAGGTGGAATTAATGCTTACCAAGTTCAGACTGCACAATAACAGCCCAGTTATGGTCCAACACACACAACATAGGGTCTTGTTGGAAATGGTTAACGTGCATGTCAGTTGATTGTTTTCTCTCACATCTCTCATATCTGGGGTACATTATAATGTCCCTGCACAATGACTTGCATGTCACTTTTTTATTCTCCCAAAAAAGATCTTCCATGACTGCTTCATTATCCAGTTTAGGTAGGTGGAACTGTGAAGCAGAATAGACACCCATTATTACACGCGCACGCACACACACACACACACACACACACACAGCTTAACTCTCTAGCTCGACTCTCCTTTCCACTGACATCATGCATGTCGTGAAAGCCAACAAGCTTGACTGACAAAAAGAAACAAGAAGCAAAGCTTTTATGGCTCTAATCATCTAATCTGAAATGTTGGCCATCATATACATAAACAAAAATATTGTGTAGACTGTGCTCAGCATAAGAAGTGTCCCAGTAAGCAATGGCAGCCAAGCAGCATGTTCAGAAGCCTGACTGCTGCTGAATGGATGCAGTCACCATTATGCAGCCTTGCTTTACCTATTGTGACAAGTCAGAATGTCGGTGTGAAAAAAGGTCCAAGTATCAGAAGCATGTTGCCACCATGCTATTTTACCCGCATGACTTTTCTGACCACAGAACAGAGAGAGGGCGTTGTGGGGGTAGAGAACCGTGAATGAGCAGTTTTCTTCTGTTGCTGCTGCTCGAGTTTGACCATGTCAAAAATGTTGCTGCTGGATGCAGAGCAGGCCACTGTGTAATCTGGTGAGAGCCGTGCAGAATAAATGGCAGCTGCTGCTGTTGTCGCGTCTCACTCTGAAAGCGCCCCAAGTCAAAATTCTCACACAGTAAATTAAAAGCACAATAATGCAAAGCACCCACAAAGAGATTGGAGTCAAGAGCACAATCATGATTAATTATACCCCAAAACATAACAAACACACCTTTAAGCCGTTTACATTTACTCACCATGACTAAAAGCGCTTTGATTTAAATGAGTTTATGCTCATTATTTATGGTTGTTACGCCATAAGAGTAAATTGAATCCTAAGTTTAAAAAAATAAAGGCACTGAATATCAGACTGAGATGACATCCAACAATGTGAAAGCACTTGATTTTTCCTATGACACCTACAGGTTGCGAATCCAACTACAACTTCACCATCTTCCTAGTTGCATCAAAATCTTATGTCACGGGGAAATGCTTAAGTCGAATCACAGAAGTCTGAAGAACACAGCAAAACCAGTAATTAGAACAAGAAAGGGCTCAAGGTCAAAACACTATGCAATAGACATTCTTCTTTGCTGTGATGCAGACCTTGAATTCAAGACGTTTCCTGCCACACAATAGCAAACCTCTAATCTAAGCTAAACACATGCAAGTGCAGCAGTCTATGGAAAATTAAAAACAGGGCGTGACATGAAAGTATCTTGAGCAAAATTAATTCCATCAATAAAAACTTTTGGACATTTCGTCAGTTTGGGTTTCGCATCACTTTTCAAAGCATGCACAGGATAAACAGTGCTCATTGAGCTTCAACGCTTAAGACAAATCTGAGCCCCGCACGCTACTTATAAATCACAACAAGATGTCAACATGTCCGAGAGGTTTTGAATCAAGCAGAAATTGCGACTATAAAAGTAGTACACTTACGTTAACAATCTTTACAGGGAAGGAAAGTGACCATGACGAGTATAATTAAATTAACTCAGTGCTCGCCCACAGGATATTACAGCGCATGGCTGTTACCTACACTACTGAATTACAAGGGCACTAAAGCAAAGTGTTTGCCTCAGCAAGTGAGCAGATACTTCTTTATTTTCTTGCTTTGCCTGCTCTTCTTGGCCAATGGTGGGGGTTGGAGGGGGGGTGTAATTGGCATGCAAGCTTCAGCTGGGCTGTTAGATGAGCCAGGTCCCAAGCTCGGGCACAAAGCACAACGGCTCTGCTGTGCCCACAAAATTAGTTTAAAGCTGTGATTCAGCAACAGGCTGAGACCTGTACAGTGCCACTGGTGCCATCCATCATGGCAAATCCATTTCTCTGGCAGGACAACTGAGCCAAACCGACACCCCCTCACCTCGCAAAGCACAGCATAGCAGCAGGTAGAAAGAAATATAAAATACAAGGGTTCTGATGGTTTCAGCAAATAGGGAAGTCTTGTTAGGCTGAAGATGACCATATATTACTAGCCCTTTTTTGTTTACAGTTCCTCTCGCTCTAATCCTCCTAACACTCGGCAAAAATGTGCCTTCTCCAACACAGCTTAGATGAAAATAACACTAAGATTGCTGTTCACATATTTTGCCCCATTTCCGTGCTCTTCTATTCCCGACTTCAACATAAAAACTTTGGTACAAATAACAAATACTGCCCCGACACAGACACCAGTGTTATTTCTGTGTATGCACAGTCACGTAAGCCTGAACCCTAAGATCAAGACAGCAGTGATTTACACTGGTGTGAAGTGAGGTAAAGCTATTTACAGGATTTTCATTTACAGGTAACCGATCACAGAAAAAGATGGGATTACTTTGTATCATTAGCTTCCAACAGTATACAAACAAGAAACTACAGCTAATATAAGTTCACTTACTTAGCAGCTTTAATCAAGCTATGATATGAACATAAGGCAGAACAACGTTTGCTACAACTGATAAAGCTGCGTTAATACTGTTGTAGTTACATCTGATACTTGGAACAGTTAGCAATATTTCTCAAATTAAGTGAACTAACCCCATCAAAAAACAGCTGAGGTTAGACCATTATTGACTCACCAGCATCCAACTATGTCAGTGAGTCACAGCAACACTGGACAAAGACAATGGCTGGGATAAGAGGATGGCGTCGAGGAAGGTGGGGGTGGTGGGGGGGGTGGTTTGCCAGCTGATCGAATCTTCTTATTAACTTTCCCCAGGCCTGTGGAGAGATAGAAAAAGGAAAGGAGGGAGGGAGAGGAGGAGGTAGGGAGGATTGGTTTAATGAAGACTCCTGCCGTGAGAGTTCGTCTGCCTATGGTGCGGCCCTGTGAATAAGCCTGGCAGACAGATGGGCTGAAGAATTGATCAGTGGAGACAGTCTACAGAGACCAGCACAGACTCAGAGGCTGTGTTTTAGTTGAGGTGAAGTACACAATCAAGGATATCAAAGACGATGAAATGTCACTGGAATTTACTACCAGTGGGAGAAAGCACTACAGTTAGAGGCACAAATGCGCAGAGGAATACAATCTAAATTGGAGTTTGATTTGAACTGACAGCAGAGAAGGGGCCATAAACTTCAAAACCAAACCGCGCATGCTTATTATTTATTAGACTGGCATGCCTGAAACAGAGGACTGCGGAATCAGTCCTTGAAAGATCTCCTCAGACTGCCGATTCTGAGGCTTTTTGGTATCTTAGCCCTTTGTCTCCCGGTTGTCCTTCTGAGAGCTGTCCCACTTTCAGCCCTGGCTCTGTGTGGCATCCATCTTTCACACGAGTGACAACGCCCCCCCACCCCCACCCCAACTCTGCACTGCCACTCTTATTTTCATCGTCTATTGTTCCAGCCCGGCACAGCAAGTCCCACAATTCTATCATCTCCACAAGCTCAATACTTGCCTGCACTGCTGATAAGTAGCCAAACACTGAGGTGATGAATAAATCACAATGAAGCACATACACATGTG